AGCGAGTTTTGGGGTTGCTTGTATCCATTTACGATCAGCACGATTGGCTACGTACAGTGCCAATCAAGTTCAACGTACACACATACGTGCGTGGCCTGATTTGAAGGATATGTATTGCTCGCAATTAGCTTCTGCAGAGTTCGCAGATAAGCTCCCGGCACGTGGAGGGCAACGTTGGACATCCTGTTGAGCAACACGCGGCAGACGACCCAGAAAACACATCTGGGAGCCGTACGCACAACCACGAAAACCCAACGCAGAAGACCTTGGGACAATCTGATAACGCAGAAAACCGTGACGTAATTGGCTTAACAAAAATAAAAACGTACACAGGTTTGTTTGTTTTTCTTTTACAGCGGGTCTTCCGTGTCGCGTTACAATATTGACCGAACGCTAAACAAACCCTGGTGACCCCTGGTGGTGCACGTAGCGCGGACGCGTGGGTGAGCCGACGCTTGGAGGGAAGGATGCGTCGGCGGCGGCTGACGAGTCGGCGTCTCGCCTTCGATGCCGACGCCGTTGAGAGAGGCACGCGCCACCCTCCCACGCCCCCACGCACGCGCCACACTTCTGATGCAATCGCGCCGTTCACACTGCCAACGTGCGTCAGGATGGCATCATTACGGAACCATTTTTTTCCGAGCAAGCCTGCCTGGTGGCGGCGTTTCGTGATGATGGTGCCTGCTTGAAGAGTATTTCTGAAATAAATTAATAAAGTGTTATCTCTTTTTTACGCGTATAATTTTTTTAAACTCTCTTTTTATAATTTCTTATTCTTATGAATTACTGTTAATTGTTAAAGTAGATATTATATTGTGATGCACACGAACATAAATATAATGTGCGCACGATGTGTCGAGCAACAGTACAAATGGACCGCCAAATTTCTCCTGATTGTAAAGACGCACTTTTTTCCCATGTATATTAAAGACAAAAAGGTGTAGGCGTGCCTTCTAATCCTCGAGCTGTGTGAGCGTGACCAGATTTGTAGAAATGCATTGCCACTGGTCACACCTTTTGGGAGCATATTTGTTAAAGATCACTTTTGCTTCAAACTTAAAAGAACACATCAACAAACAAAAAAAAATGCTTACACGAGCTTACGTGATTTAATATTTTGGTATTCTTTAAGCAACCATATTATTATTATTTTTATTCAGTAGGCTCACGTGACATTGACTTCTCCAATACATAGGTTCTCTGCAAGCCATCTGGCTACCATGAGAGATTCGTTCATGAGGCTATCCACATATACAAACACAGAGACAATTTCAACCGAGAAGATGGATTCTGGCTTAGCAATCATTGGAAGGATTTGATAAACCATTTTGGGTCTTAATTGATTGTTCACGCTTACCGTGGCTTTCAAACCGCATCCATTATTTTTGTCTCCCCCTCTCCTCTTTTCCGAACATAGATTGACTCGTTCATCTGAATCACTGCCAAATCGCTCTCCGTGGTGCTCACGTAAAAAAAAACCCGCCACTTTTTTCAAATTTTCTTGCTGTGGTTTTCACACCTGATGATGATTGCTTGTGTTGCAGTCGAAACGTCGTGAGAATTGTATTGTTTTATATTTTTATTATTTCATTGTTTCCCTTCTACGTGGTGACTTTACCGAAAGAACCAAGAATGTATATAACCTTATTATAGTTTTTTTTTTTATGGAAATACGTATTCACCAAAAAACTCAATATTAAGTATTTTAAACCAAGACAGGGACAGCAGCGAGAAAACCCAACGCGATATTTCGTGATATCCTTGGCCGACCATAACATAAACTATAGATAATTAAATAGTGAAATGTATATTAAACATATTAATAGTGTTTTCCCCTTTTTTCTGGCAACAAAACTGAAACCTTTTACAAGGATTCAAGGATTCATGCAAACAAAAAAACATACTATGATAATATATGCATTGTCCTTGAAACTGATTGGTCCACACCAAGAGACGGCTTTCTTTTGAGCCTTGACCCAATTGGTGCTCGACCAGATGACGCCAAAAGGCGTCATCTGGTCGAGCACCAATTGAAACCTTTTAACAAGGACATGAATCCTTGTTAAAAGGTTTCAATTTTGTTGCCAGAAAAAAGTGGAAAACCCTATTATTATATTTTGGTACTGGCAAAGGAGGTAAAATGATGTATATTAAACATTTAACGCGTGGCTTTTAAAAGTTTCCAAGCAAAGCCCTTTAAAATAGGCATGAACCATGCACATTGTACATTATTAAGGTACATGGATAATAATAATTATACGCAGCAGACACAAAGAGATTGCATTGTACACAGGAGAACACTTTAGAGTAATTAGAGCAATTGAAACTGATTTAATGGTTTCAATAACGAGCGGGTGCTGCAGAAAGGTTTAAACCGTGCCTGTTAACCACGAGAATACGCGTGAAATGTAACATTACCAAAGGGAGTAAGTAACGTTTGTCAATCAGTGGCAGCTACCGTTTTAGTTTTTTTTTTTACAAATATTTCAGTGATATTACCAAAGGCAACTCAAAGTGATTTCCTGTTCAAAAATGAAAAAGTTGCGTGAAGAAAGGTCATCATGGGCCTAGGCTATCATCACTCCTTCACGTGCACCGATCTCATCACTCCAACATCTGCACGGGTGAGCTCTCTCCCCTCCATTGACTGCCATTCCATCACCAGTCTCATCCATTGGCCATCACCCATTCTTCTTGGCCATGATGTGTGTCCTGCCCACGCTCACTTAGCAGTCAACACGACATCTCTAAATTGATCCATAACGTTCCTCAACGTAATTGCAAGCATGCCTCATCTCAGCACGCTTCTTTGCATACCAGCAGTGCCAACATCATTGTCAGTTTATTTTTCCTTCATGTTTGTGGTCCATAAGCGGCAGCCGGTAATATGCATTCGCACTGCAAACTTTTCTCTTAAGACGCACTGGCGCTCTGGTGTGTGTTATCAAATCCACGTTCATGAAAGCACTTAGTCTAGCCCTTGTGTATACCTCAGCGTCGTTGCGTTGCAGATCTGCTGCCTTCAAGTTCGGTATGAAAGTGTGATATCTAAAAAATATGTATTCTGAAACGTGTATAAAGAGCATGAGATGTGCACAGTTGGAACAGCTTGAACAAACACAGCGCGGAGCATGATGGATCCAGTGGAAACTACAATAGCAGACATCACACTCACTCAGCCATTAACATAAATTAATGGACTATGGCTGAACCTCGAGGGATGACCAAATCATGAATGAGTGCAGCGCTGCAAGTTCAACAGAGAAAGGGAAAACCATGCCCGAAAGAATAACCAGAGGAGAGACAGAGCGGTTCAATTAGGTTACGTCCAGGGCCATCGCGGACCCATAGCTCAATAGGGCCAAGGGAATTGGTGTTGACACCGCTAAGCCTATCGACTATCAGTGTTTAGAGGTACACATGAAGCTGCATCAATGCGATGTCTTGCTTATTCCACTGCTGGCGGAAGGACCTCCACGCTTGAGGTATCCAAAGATAACTCATCAAGATGATGTTCTGATTTTGAGAAAATGCAATAATTAAAATCGTTAACATTAACAACTATACCCCAGTGCATGTTGGATAAAGTGTCACAACCCAAGGTGACCGCGAGGAGTGCTAAGAGTAAGAAACCGACGCAAGTGTACTTGTCGTGTAACCGACATTGCAAATGCTAACCATGCAAATCTTCCAGCAAAAGTGCTAATTCATCTTCCCTGTTGAATATTTCATCGATTAGCTGCATTGTCGAGAGAGTGGGCGATTCGCCATGCAGCACGCCTCATGACTAACAGCCAACATGCTCAATATGTTTGATAAAGGTAGCTCTTCTATTGAATCAATGGATACAGTAGTTTAATGATAATAACTCATTAACTGCCGTGAATTGCCAATGCGAATAAGGTCCACACGCTCTCACAATCAAATAAAGAATGACACTGATCTGTATCAGCAGCCATAAATCCCAGTGATCGAAATTCCACAATCCTATGGCGTGGCCCAGTCTATCCAAAATAACAGACAGACAAAAGAGTGTGAGCAGTGTTCCTGCAACAAATAATGTGAAACAAATATTATTTACTAAACCATTAACAGCCCGTGGACGTGCGCACTCGATGTTTTCGGGTCAGGTCGTGCGAGTAAAAATGTGTGCCGTGCACCCTTCTCCACCCGGCACGGCCAATCAATGAAGTGGCCACGTGAACAATCGCGACAATTTATCACTGTCGCAGCCATCGGTTGCTGTGGCGTCCGCCAGAGGGGCGAAGTGCGTGGAATTTGCTCACGTCCTCAAATAGGCCTGAGTTGACGTCAGCCGCTGCTTGTGAAAGGCTGGACAATGCGGGGGAAATATATAACGGCTCAACCATTCGAGGGGGAGGCTAAGCTCAGCATGAGACTATCAGCCCGCATTCAGAGGCGTGCGTGTTTGAAAATTGCAAAGGCTCATGCGGAGATGTTTTCTTCTCTTTATCTGGGCACAATACAATAGCAATGTAAAAATAAAATGATAAGTGCCTGTGTGTGTATATATATATCGCATCTTCTTGAAGAGAAAAAAATTAACGTACAAAGGTGTGCTAACGGGATCGAATATTTTTTTTTGCCTTATTGCACGCGCACAAAAAGAGTGGATCACATCTCTAATTTGATACATCTCCCTTATGAAATATGATTAACCTTGCAACTCCTCTGCTGTCGTTGACAGCCTCCCCCCTCACCACCACCACCACCACCCCCTGGAGGGCGTAGCAATGAGGAAGAAGCGTTCCGCGGCAGTGTCCTCGGGTAGGGCAGGCAGGCAGGCAGGTGCCCCGCGCGTGCTCACGCACTCACGGCGAACTGGGGCGCGTCGACGCCTCTTGGTTGACAGCGGCAATGTTCGGAGTTGAGCCGAGCCATCGAGCCGCCGTTCAACCCGGGTAACATTTGTAATGGAACCGTCGCAGCGATGAGAGAGCCGAGGCAACCCACCTGCTGAATTCCGTAACAAATCAATAAATCAATGAAACTTTATTTCTATAGCACTATTCGCGCAAACAAAATGCAATGCATTGTGCTTTGCAGGCGTGAACAATAAAAGTGAAATTGTAGGCAAAATTAAATAACATTGTTAGAAATATCGAGCAAAGACATAATAAAAAAAACACATTAAGAAAATTCCTATTGACAGTAAGTTTCAGAAAGTAAGTTTTTTTAATTTAATTTTTTAAGTGCTTAATAATTCTGAAGCCCTGGTGAATTCATAGGCTCGATGCGAGATGTCTTGTGGTAGCATTATGCAGATCGAATGGGAATGCACGTGGTGACATGTTTAGCCTGCGCCGGACGTCACTGCAGTTGGAGCACGGCACTTGATTATAAATCGGCCAATGCATTGGTTTTAAAGTGTGTTTTCCCTCATTAATAAAGCATCAAACTCAAGTTTGTCAAACGTGTAAATCTCACGTTTGACGGGCTGGAATACACAGCTTTTGGGGTTAGTATTAACAATGAAGAAAACCATGTTAGTATTTTTTGGGTCCTAAACATATTCCTCTAATCTTCTGTTTCCATAGCGGGTCATTCACAAGCCTGTACATAATTGATGCACTACTGGATAAGGGATTTGCCACACTGTGTTATCCATAGGTGTTTTAATTATTTCACCATATTTCACCACACTGGTCAGCGCAGGGTGGTGCCCAGGACTGGTTTAGATATCACCCCACCACTGATAGTAGCCGTGTCTGGGACTCGGGCTTGTCAGTTCGAATGCGCTAACCACGCGCCACGCGTGTGTTATATATATACAGAACACGGTATTCTGTTCACTCACGATGCACTTAAAATTGACAATTTGCAGGATTGTATCTGTTGATCAACATCCACCAAACCCTTTGTGTTATTCATGGCGAAGCAAATATCAAGTTACCATTGATACCACAGATGATAACTCAGTCGATAGGCATATGGCTCAAGCGAGCGTATGAATTAACCATTGTGATTAGCACGGTTGGCAACTTATGGTGCGCGGAAGAAGTTCACCATACATACATAGTAAAGGTACTTCGAAATCAGTCATGCGAAAAAAAAACACCGCACTGAACCTCACCATAGCCAATGCAGAAACTGCCACCAAACGCATGCAAAGTGAATACACAACACCGTGACCTTTCAAAGACTTCCGACGCATTCTCATACCTGAGCTCGAGAACATAAAGTACATGCAGCATTGCAACATTTTCTCTGTGAGTGACCATGGTCATGAATGAGTTGGGCCTGTGGCCATGAATATCAGTACAATGTGGCATTTTTAGATTTTTATTGTCCAGCCACCCGTTCATAATCCGTTGCGTCTGAGTGAGATTTTCACTCTCCACATGTTGCGCAAAGGGGCCGTCCATATATGACGTCACGCACCTGGGGGGGGGGGGGTCAGACATTTGTGACGATGTGTGACGAGGGGGGGGGGGGGGTTGAGAAATGTGACGTCACATCAAAATGCGCAACTTTAAATAAATATAGACAACACCTTCTACTTGATTAAATAGACCTTTTTTTAAAAAAAAAATGTGTTCTTCTAAAACATCAGAGTGCAGCGCCACATTAAATACGCACTACAATGACAATAGTTTAAAGCGATTTGAAGCATGTTTACTTTTTTTGTCGGGGGGCAGAGCTTTGTGACGTCATATTTGAGGGCGGGTCTGACTTTTTGTGACGCCGTGTGACGAAGGGGTGGGGGGGAGGGGTCAAAAATCGTCCAAAATCTTGTGACGTCGTTTATGGACGGCCCCCTATAACATTTGATCCCATTCTAAATATGTATACCGTTGGGAGAAGGCGATGCACACGTATACTGCTTATATATAGGACATATGATCTTCCTAATTTTAAATATGGATAAGAGTTGTCTCTGTATGGTTACTGTGAAGACATTGAAACGGTTTTGAATTGTATTTTCTATCATACTCACTCACAATCATGAACAATAAAGACTAGACGACAGCCCTGAGCGAGTCAACTGGGGGCCTCCACACGATGTACGTGAAATCACGTATGGTGGTTTTTCTTTTAACCATACTTCACCGTGCTGGTCAGCGAGGAGTGGTGAAAGAAAGGGTGGGGGAGGCAGAGTGGGGTGTTCGAGTAATTATTTGGATTATTTGGCTGCTATAAATGTCCATGCTACTTTGTTGAGATGCCATTTGTGGCCAGGTAATTTCTGAAAAAAAAAGCAAACAGCTCACTGAGCTTTACCTTGTAAAAAAAAAGAGAGTTTTATTTGAATGTATTTTTTTAAGTTATTTGTTTACCTTTCTTAGACTTTGCACTCCTATCTTGTCGTTGTCCCGTGTGTTGATGTTGTAACGTTCTGAACCGCCCCTACTGGACATCTGTGAAAAAAGAGCTTCATAGCTCATCGGATTCCTCCAGTAACAAATTCATTCTTCTGATTCTGAAACGTTAGGCTACGAACCGCATGGTGTACATCAATGCACGCACGGACACACGACGTAATGGGCATTTACCATTTGCTAATGTTTTATTTCTCTCTTCACAAACCGAAAAAAAATACTGGAGAATTAAAAACAAGAACGTTGTATCCGAAACAAAGGAGACTTAACTAACAAAAAAGCAGTAACATATGACGAAGGTAATAAAGAATCATCGCATTGATATATATCGGGGTACACTTGTACTGAACTCGATTTTAATAGCATCAACAACATTTAGAAAAATGTAGTTGCTTCAACTCGGTAACATTCCAGTTTCTAAAATGTTAACTGCACCAGCACCCATCATACACGCACAGGACATATTCTTAGGGTCTTTCGGTAAAGTCACGTAGATAGGTTCAAAGAAAATAACAAAAAAAATCACAAAAACTACGAAGTTTCGATCACAACACAACACAAGCGATCGTCATCATCCTGATGACATCATCCTGATGACTATCGCTTGTGTTGTGATCGAAACGGCGTATTTTTTAAAATGATTTTTGTGTTATTTTCTTTTAATATACCTACGTGACTTTACCGAAAGACACTACTAATATGAATTCCTGCAGTAACGAAAGCTTTAAGTCAAGATTTACGCACAGGACAATACAAATATCAGCTGCGACTCGATGGCTAGGCGCACTGAGGCCACATGAAGTACAGAAGGCTCGCTGGAAGCATAACTCTTAAGTGAGACCCAGGTGCTGAACATTAACCAACAGATGACGAGCAGAGGCGCCACCTGGGGCTTATCCACTGTTTGTGCCACCTGAATCGCCCTCCTGCCTCCCATTGTTAATGGAGAGTGCTGTCCACAGCCCATTAGTATCCTCGAATTAGGCATGGTGATGATGAATTCCATTGTTCGATTACCGTCAATTGTGGCAAATTGTGGACTGCTTCTTTGACCTTCCTCCGTTGAAGTGAGCAGGCAGTGGTTACGATATGGCCGCCACTAACATGGGGCTGACGTTGACGGACACGGTGTGTAGGATCACGTGGTGGGGATGGGACCACATATTATTACTATTTTGATAATAAACCCATCGCTAATTCGGCAGCATTATATCCATGCTCACGGGTCATCGTCTTAATCTCCGCCAGGTCAGCGGGCAGCAACTGCGCAGCGGCTGGTGTTGTTTTTTGCACTTTGTTTCACACCTTGTTGTCATCCCACGTTCCTCTTGCCACTGGATGAGAGAGATGTGCATCGCACTGGATGAGAGAGATGTGCCTCGCACCACTCGCGTTAGCGACAGAAGGGGGTAAGAAGGGTGTACCGAGGCATTCATCTTTGCATGGAAGAGAAAGGCGAATGGATGTGCCAATCAAATAATTACATTCAGGTGGAGAATGGAAAAGGAAGCAACTGAGCGAAAGCTATTATAACGACCGTACTTCTCTTTTTGTCTACAGAAATATTTAATTTTCTTCTCCTGCATGATGTGAAAGAAAGAAAAAAACAATCCTGCAAATCTAACGCACGTGGGTGTACTGTATAAAATAACATCACAAAGCAGTCCTTAAAGAGCCATATCTGGCTCCAGAGCCACAGGTTGCCGATCCTTGCTCTATAAGGGAGGGTATATTGGCCTACTCTTCCACACTGGCACAGATATCTTGCGTGATGTGTGAGTATCCACACACGCGACCTGCCGATTGAAAATTAGATTTAAAAAGATGGCACCATTATTCCCACTGCTGCGCGTGGAGATCGACTCAAACCGGTGACCTCTGGACTGAAAGTGCAGTGCGTTGATCCATCACATGATGGCCGAGTATCCCTTCGCCGTTGTTTTTTTCCAGGCACTCAAATGTAACGTAAATAAATAAATACTTCGGCAACAAATTATGAAGCCGCTCCTTTTAAGTGTTTGTCGTTTTTTTTGCGACTCAAAGATGAATTGTATGTTTTTACTCAAAACAGATCAGGTATGCAGTCTCATTAGGGCTCTAATCTGACTCTAAAATTATTGTCAGTTGGTTGCATCACCGTGATTCATATTCAATTGGCATGTTCGTAAAAATGTGAGGATGTTACACACATGAATTTTGCAAAATGGGCTGCTCGTGATGATGACGATATTAAATTATAATACACCAATGACTGTAGGCAATAGCCTTATAGTTTAACATGAGTAGTGATCGAAGGTGGAGGGGGCTGGTGACGTATTATGGACATTTAAAGATTTTTTTAAGGACAGCTACTTTATATTCTTAGTTTTTTCGGTAAAGTCACGTTGAAGAGAAACAACAAAATAATAAAATATATATAAAATATTTTTTATTGTTTTATCTATATTTTATTCGTGATGATGATGATGATGAAGGTTAAAATTGCGATGGGTCGTCTTAAAAATGCTGAGAGGGCACTGTTCTCCATCAAATCCTTGAGAACATTAAATACATCGTAAGTGACTTTGAAGGTCGATGCCGCATGTGTTTGTACAATACGGGCGCCAAGGTAGCGAGGTGTTAAATGCCTGGTATGCAGGGGTCGTGGGTTCGACCCGGACCCTGACGCCTGTATATTTGCATGTTCTCCCCGTGGCCACGTGGAATTTTTCTCCGGGCCATCCTGTTTTTCCCTCCACACTTAGAATAAACATGCGCTTCGAGTATTTGCCCGCGATAAATGTCCACGTGATAGGCCACTTCGGTGAGCTGTCATTTGTGGCCAAGTAGCTTCTGAAGAAGAGCTATATCGCTCAGTGGGTTTTACCTGTTCAAATAAAAACTGTAGTTTTAAATAGATGAGTTAATTTAATTAATTTCAGCTGCGTTGCATGTAGTTGTACTGTACTGCTGTTTGCAACAACGAATTATTGGCGCGATGCGTATCGTATAGACCGAAAGAGCTCCATCGCACGCGTGGGTTTTACCCGGGCGCTCCGGTTTCCTCCCATATGTACAACACTCACTATTGGGCTGAAAACATCTCAAAATAACAACAACCAAAATGTGGCTGTCCTGGATAAATAAATACACATTAATATACTAATAATGTGAAAGGAAAATAGATTGACGAACAGTATAAAGTATTTAATACAACCTTGGACATATGAAATATTCACTCAAAATTTAGTTTACAACGAAATAAACTCCCCCTCTGTTGATGATTATGACCAAGGATAAAGCCAATGTAATGCAAAAACTTTACATTTGTTTTTCTATTTAAAAAAAAAAATGTTTCCTGAAGGCCATGTCATTTACATAACTCTTCATGCTGTCAGTGTAAAAAAATATGGGCTTTATTTTCTAAACAGTTGATGTGTATGTGTCATTGTAGTTATTATTATACTATGTAAACCTCGGATTAGCACGGTTGGCTACGTACTGTACGAATAAAGTTCAACATACGTACATACATAGTGGTTAGCGCGTTGCGCTATGGACCCAACGAACCGATTTCGATTCTCGCTCGCGGCCAAGACCAGGGACGATTATCTGAAATGGTCCTGGGCCTCCCCTAGTTCGACTTAGCCCAAAATGAGTGTAGTGGGTTAACTTGAGAGACACCAATTCACGAGGCAACACGTTTATTCTATGCCCACAACGGGGTAACTACATAACCGGTAACCACTACGGTAACTACATAACCAGTAACCACCACGGGGTAACTATATAAACGGGTCAGGTCAGTCGGCACACTGCCTCACCCACGATGCCGAGCACGAAGACCGGAGACCGAGGAGAAGACGCAGCACAGCAGGTTCCATTCCAGCAGACAGCCCCAATGGGACCCCGCGACCCCCCTTTTATGCCCAGCAGCTTGGCCTGGCTCCGCCCTCGGCCATGCCCCCTTCTGGAACTCACCAGAAGGTTCTGGGCCCTACACCACGTGTCCCTTCTGTCACCTTTGGCCCACATCCTTACCCTGTACTGTCACGTGCCCTTGCCAGCCAACCGGGCTGCTACGTCCTAAGATGCCCCCTCTCTGCCAGCCACCAGAACCATGCCCCCTAGGGACCCTTTCCATGACATAGCATACCCTGCTGGCAGGGAGGGCTACTACACTCCCAGTTCCCCTCTTTCAGTAACTGGCGCTCGGCGCCGTAGTGACCCATTATATGTGACTACATGAGTACCTGGTGCGGTTTGTAAGCATCAGCACTCGGGTGACAAAGGTGGTTGGGTGAAGTGTGGCCCACTCACTCCCTTCATGTGTCCTGCCGGCTTTCATAGTTTGCCTATAAACAACACTTGCCGCAGCAACCTGTTAAAGTCGATACAAGGAATCTTTGTCTTTATCATCTAAATATTCTCCCTTATAGATTACACATTATTTTACTATAAGTGCCGTTTGACATCAGGTGGCAAATGGGTGTAGGACAGAGTGGACTTACTGATAACTGGTGTCAAGCAGTAACACGATTGGCCACTGTACAGATCACTCGTGAACTCTAGAGGAGTAGTAAGCAGCTGGCCTCCAGCAACAACGGTAGGCGCAGGGTCGACGCTCACAGCATCGAGGAGAACACCGCTGGGCTAAAACACAACCATTCGAAACAGCGTGGGGAGTGCGGGAAATGCATCCGCCAGTCATCTCACTCTTGATCACAAGGAATATCTGAGTCTGTCCGAAAACCTCCTGCCAGAGAACCTTGACACTTTTTGCACGCAGCCTCACAGTGCACCTAACCTGGCACAAGTGCTGTGTTGATATTACCACGAGTTCAATAGATCAGATCATTGCATGTCGAGCAGGTGTTTAAGGCATTCAGCTAAAAACATACTCAAATCACAGGCCATGATCACATGTGTGTAGAAATGTGGGTCATCATGCCCTCTGATATTGTGCCAGGTATCATAAGACAGATGGCATCCAATTTACACAGCTTAATTAAAAACTCAAAATACTTTGCAGGTTTAAAAAAAAATTCTGGAACAAATATTCGCGTTCCCAAGAGGTACACACAATATGAAATCGGCACTTATCGACACTTATCAGCCTCAACTTCAGGAGCACCGCAACAATGCCAGACACAAAATAATTATAAACATATCTTGAACTAATTAAAGGGGCAAAGTAAGCGGGGATGAAGATTTTATTTGACAGGAAAATCGATTTAATTACTTTCCCAGCATGCAGTTTTTTTTTGCCAGCGTTCGCCAGTAAAGTGAGCATTTAGCCAGGCTGATGCTGGTGAAATAATAAAGTAATTTTACTTTGAGAATGTGGCCAGGCTGTGAGCAAAATCGTTTGCCGTGGATTGCACACCTCTGCGGAGCTACTCCCCGTGGCTCTGTGCAGTGCCCGGCATGTGTGTGGTTAATTATTTTTGTTGTTGTGTGGAGACGAAAATCAAACACAGAGGGCATAATCTGAAGTGGTACAATAACACACGCGTTACAAAAAAGAGG